ATTGGCAACATTCTTTGTATGTTTCTTTATAGAGAGATGAACCATATCAAGTAGCTAGTTTCATTTCTTTGAAAATAATGCTATTGCAATATCAAAAGTAAAAACATATTCAGATAACTTAGATGCCAATTAATTAGATAAGATTTGAATTGATTCATCAATTTTTTTGCTTTATACTTTGTCATTATTGTTCAAATGTCTACTATTATTTCTGTTATTGTTTACTAAATGACTTTAATCAAAAAGATAGAAATTAATAATATATGAATTATATCATCACATTTTGATATTGTGATTTGTTTTTTTTATATATATATATATATATATATATATATATATATATATATAAATTATATTTTCAATGTAAAACTTAATTATTTCTTTTATAATCTTTTATTATTGATTTTTATTGCTTTATCTTTATAGATTGTATCCTTGGGCTTACTAAAAGGATATATGGATTTTCAACTATTATGGTAATAACTAGGTAGAGCAAAACATACTAGTTTTTTCAAGAATTTTTGAAAAGATATTATTAAAAATCTATTTTGACTTAATTCTTATTTATAATTTATAGTCACGTCATATATGTATATATATAAGTTTTTATTGAAGAAATTATTGAGCCTATATTGTGTACAATAAACCTTAATTGAGCTTATGAAATTCCATGTGATGTAGGATTTATGCAATCCAAGCAAAATTTTCATAGTATATCTAAGTTCTTTAATTGTTCTTCAACTACATTGCTGTTTTGATTTTGCTACTACAATACAAGGATTTAGTACTAAAAAGAGACTATCAAATTATAGAAACTAAACTTTTAAATTTTATTTATTTATTTATTTTATTTTTCATTGATGGTGCATTGTTTTAACTTAAACCACAATAATGACTTTATCAATTATATTAACAAGGATAGTTGTCCAATAGAGAGGAGATTCATTACAACGAATTCAAAAAAGATATCTTGCATACTTATCACTATACTATGTTATTTTTTTTTATATAGAAAATTTAGATGGCATTAACAAATGAATCTTAGAGATAGAATGCCAATGAAGATGGAAATAAAAATATGTAAATTTCATGTATTATTCAAATGAAATTTTATTCATATCAACTTTTTTTATAATATAATAAGTACTTTACTATCTAAAATTGGTTGAGATACTTTAGTATGAATCAAGATAAGTTATATGCAAATGTATATCAAGGACTACCAAATATTTTTGGAGATGTACAAATTCAAAAAATTGACATGCAAAATCTAATGAAGAAGTTAATTGTTTCATTCTCTCATATTAGAAGTATAAAAAATCTATTCGAAATTTTTAAAGATTCTATGGCAATTACTTGATATTTTTAACATCTAAATATATTTTATACAATAACTACAAATCTTTGGTAGACAAAAATATCAAGTGCACTCCTTCTAGGATAAAAGTTTAAGGATTGTCCCAATTAGGTGGTATGAGTATTTAAATTAAAGTATTGTGTATTGATTGAAGATGTTTATAAATATTATATTTTAAAACATGCACTTATAAGAGTGTATAATATTAAGTTTTAAAAGCAAGGTCTTTTATATATATTCTTTTAATTCTTTTTTGAATAAAAAAGATAAATAAAAAATTTGGTCAATATTGATAAGATTTTTTGTGTGGATTTTTAAAAATAAATAAATAAAGATCTATTATTATTTGAGACAATTAATACTCACATGGTTCATTGTCTATGTGGACCTTGAAATATACAAGTTCTATGCATGATGGATAAAATATGCTAAAAATATTATTTAAAAGAATATTAAAAAATAACATTAATGGATGGTAATGGCTATTTCCAATATCATAGAATGAATGATGGGAGAACTTTTAAGGTAAGAAATCATATTATAGACAATTAAAATATTGTTTCATACAATCTTATTCTTAATAGAAGGTATAACTGACATATCAACATTGATATTTGTACTTTATTTTGTGCTATGAATTATATTCACAAATATATCTATAGAGAGCATAATTGTATAACAATACAAATTAAAAATGAGGAAGATGAAGTCAAGCAATATATTAATGCATATTATATTAGAGCTCCAAAGGTAATATGGTATTTATTTGAAATAAAAATGAATGAAGAAGTTTCAAATGTGGTTCAATCGTTATTATATCTTCTTAAAATATATCAAATAATTTTTTATTCAAATAATGATGCAATTGAAGTCTTAAGATAGATGTCATGTAATAATATAGCTATTAGGTGAAATAAAAGAATAATTTTTTACTTTAGATGAGCTTAAATGAAAATATTTTAGCAAATTATCTTAGAAATATAAATAATAGACAAGAAAGTAGTAAAAATTAATAAGTGCTAATATTTCTTTCTTTTAGACGAGACTTATATTTATTTTATAGAAGCATAAATGAGCTAAATCAAAATAAATAAGATATATAATTAATATAGATATATTTAGGAAGAAATTAAAAATAGATTTTTAAAAAAATAACTCAAAATACTAAATATTGATATATGTAGAAGATTGGTTATGAACATAGGTTGAAATCAAACCGTGAGGTACAAATCTATGCACCTACAATGTCATTAGGATTCTTTTTTTAATTGAAGAGTGGAATTTGGGAGCGGGCTTGTAAAAAGATTTTTAAGAGTTAATTTTATATGATTTGAAGATATATTGAGGTTTTGAGAGCTTTCCAAACTGAGAGATGTATTATGTGGATTTGGATTTTATGAAATAAATAGACATTCTCAAATTTGATAATTTTGAAAATTTTGCAATACATTTATGGATGAAAATTTGTCACTTAATTAGTATGGTATTAAAATTAGTATGGCATTATGGATGAAAATTTGTCACTTAATTTGTCAATTAATTTGTCAATTAATTTATGGATGAAAATTTGTCACTTAATTTGTCACTTAATTTGTCACTTAATTAGTATGACTAATTTTTGAAGACATGTGAGATTTTATATCAATCAACTGCTTAGATTGAAGGTTATAAAAGTTTTTGTATTAGTAATTATTAAGATTTCAAATAGCTATAGTAATTTATTAAGATTTATTTAGGATTTTCTTGAGATATTTAAGATCTAATTAGGATTTGATTATGATTTAGAATTTGATTAGGATTTAATTAAAAATTGATTAAGATTGATTTAGGATTTTATTAAGATTTGGTGTAGGATTAAGATTTAGGATTTGATTAGGATTTGACTAGGATTTGATTGAAGTTTGTTTTAGGATTTAGTTAAGATTTCATTAGGATTTTATTAGAGTTTGGTCTAAGATTAGGATTTGGGATTTCATTAAGATTTGTTAGAATTTAAAAGAATGTGTTAAAGATTCAATTTGGATTTTTATTTTTAGTCTTTTTAAAGATTTCTTTGATATTTCTTTAGGATTTCTTTATTATATATATTCTTTTCAGATTATTTTTTATTTTTGATTTTTTTCATGCAAGTTCTTTGAAACTTCTTTTGAGATTTAATTAAAAATTGATGGAATTATTATAATTTAATTAGAATTTTTTTAGAATTCTATTAAAATTATTGTGATCTTCTTATTGCAAGTTCTATTTTATCTTCTATAGTTAGTTGTCCAATGTATTTTCAAGCAAATTTTACAAAACACAACATTATGGAGAGTGGCAAAAAACAACTTTGACAACATTTTTTGAAATGTATGAATCTATAGAGATTTCTTTGCAATACATGTATGAAGAGCTTCCATAACATTTTGTATGAAATAAGACCTCAAAGATGTGGACAATAAGACAACATGGATTTGCAATTGGAAGGTTATATTTTGCTAATCCTATTGTGGGAGAAAGATTATATCTTCAACTTCTTTTAATAATAGTATATAGACCATATTCATATGTAAATTCAAGTATTATAAATAAAATATTATAACCAAATTTTAAAAGGGTATGCTTGGAAATGGAATTGTTGGAGGATGATAAAGAATAGAATCAATGCTTAAAAAAAGTTTTATAATAAACAAGAAAGCCTCATAATCAAACTTAGAGAAATCAACATAATCAAATGTTTAATATTCTAAAGAGTTTTAAATTATCTTCTTATGCTTCAATTATTAATATAAATAAAAAAATATATTTATTTGCATATATACATTTTAAATATATTATTAAATATAAAAAATCAAATTTTAATTAAATTTTTTGATTTTTTCAATTAATTAAATACAAATAAATTCTTTAGAATAATATGGATTAGATGTTCAGGCTTTTATACTCATATTATATAAATATTAAAAAAAATCTACAAGTTTCTCACTTTTAAGAAGTTAAGTTAAAAGCAATTTACAACTTAATCTCTAAAAATTAAGAACCTTAACAATAAAATTATGTATTTTGTGTTTTACATTTAACCTTGTGTTTTATGTTTTATATTTAATCTGAAAATTCTCACCAATGCTTTCAAATAAAATTATTTTTGGCATTTTAGGTTTCTATGGCAACAAACTATCTTGTTCTATATTTTTCTACCAAGATATTACACATCCAAAGTCATATTTTAAAGTTTAAGTGACCTTTTTGACAAAATGAGTATTTTTTAAAGGGCTATAAACAACATATTTAAACTCACCAAAAAAAAAGGGAAAAAAATGAAATCAACATAATAATTAATAAGTTTTTTTTTTTTTCATTTAATTGTAAAACATGACCAAACATTTTTTATTTTTATTTTTTATGAATCTTACCCAAATCACCATTCCAATCAACCACCATCCACCTAGTATAAGCCCCCAACAGCGTTAGCCCTCAACGTTTTGAGCCACATCAAGAGGGGGCTTTCTAAAAATGTAAGATTACCACCGTAACCTTTGAAGTTCCAAAGAGCAAATGAAGGTGAGAGTGAGAGAGCGAGAGAGAGAGAGAGCCTGGGAGCTGCCAAGTGTCGAACTTACAATCCTGAATAGAGTCCCCGGTTTACACGCGGCCGTAAGGCTGGGCAACACGTAAAGGGTTTGCCACGCCTCGCTGTGTGGCCGTGGCCTGGCCCCTTCACACCCCACCCTATATCCGTCGCCCATTCCTACATAACTTTGTCCTGCGTCCCTGTTACCCCCATTGTTGTTTGTCTTCCTTCTCCTCTTCGATCTCTCAGGTATCCCACTCCATCTGCGGTGTCGTGATTTCATGTTCCGTGGTTAGGTATTTTAGCTGAGAAGTGTTTGTGTGTTTTTAGCAGGAATTCTGAAGGTGGGTTGGATATGGGACGGCTTTAGAAGACCAGTTTCTAGTTTTCAGTGTAGTGCTGGGTGCAAGAGACTTTGGGGTTGTGGGTGTTCGAGTGTGTGCGGTAATGGGTTTGATTACGTTTCTGATTTGCGGTCTTGAAGTTGGTAAATTTGGATACTCTTGAGATCGAGTTAAGAAGCGATAGTCGGTTGGGAAGTGTATATTCGCAAGTGTAGGTGGAGCGGTTAACCTTTGAGCTTTGCATTGTTGTTTGTTTGTGAAGTGGGATTGGGAATTGGATATTATGTTTTGAGTTAACTAAGATTGAGGCGATCTGGAATTGCAGACCTTCAGGATGTCAAGGGCTCACGTGAATGCTTCCTTCGAACCTGCCCATGTTGACTTTTTGGTCGACTTGGGTCACCCTATGTTGAACCGTGTTGTTGACGGATTCGTTAAGGTTGGTGGAGTTGGAGCTTTACATGCTGCTTCTCAAGATGCCTCCCGATTCTTGTTACAAGGTATTGGCTGTATTCTTCTCATGTATGTGGTTACCTGCCTGTCTAGCTCATACTTTTTGCAGTGTATGCACATAGTTGCGTCCTCAGCTTCCACCTTGGGTGTGGACGTCGGTAATGGGGATGGTTTCACCTTATTTTTACCTTGAGCTGTAAAAGGCTGTTTTTTGACTGAGGTTTGTCATGTACAGAGGAAACCAACAAGAAGTCGCTGGAGATGTCTGTACAACGTATGGGCAAGGAGGCAGTGCAGTGGGGACTCGTTGCCGGAGTCTACACCGGCATGACATACGGGATGCAAGAGGCTCGTGGTGTCCATGACTGGGTACAAACACGTCTCTAGTTATGCTTAGCTTTTGGCCCATAATTAGACGTGTATGTGTTTTTCCTTACTAATGTTTACAGTGGAATGTTAAGTTCCCTCGGCAACATGTCTACATTGGTCCTTTGAACTACATGATAATTTTGCCTTACTTGGTGCAGAAAAACGCATTGTTGGGAGGAGCCTTGACTGGAGCTGCATTATCCTTGACTGAGGCTAACCCCCGCAGTGACCGAATCGTACGTGGAGCTATTACTGGTGGTGCCATTGCCACCGCTGCTGAGTTCTTGCGTAGCCTTACCTAGACTTTAGTTTGTGTATAACCGATGCACATCCTCAATTAGTTCGGTACACTTACACCTCTGATATATCTTTGTCTTAAAATCCCCAATGATCATCCGCACAATGTGGTATGTGTCAATGTGAAATGTAGACACTTGTGAGTTGAAGAGGGAGGACTTGTGCATTGTCAAATAATACAACTCTGACCTTGTGCATATGAAAAGAGGTCTGAGTGTATTGCAGTTCATCCTTGTGTACATGGCAGGCGTAGTAAAGCTTGTGCCTAACTGTTGGCATTTTTATGAAATTCGGAATTCAATCAAAAGCTCTTCTTCTCTCGCATCTACTTCTCAGCTAGTTCGAGTTTTCTACAGGGTATTGATGTCTAGGAACTGTCATACTGTCGCACCTGAAAACGAAGCTCACATGTGAATTCCCAAGTACTCAAAAATACTACTTGTTGAATATTTAGCAGTTTGTTTTTGATGAGACTATTCGGCAACTGCCCTTATTTTGCAATTCTGCTCGAGCTGTCCACAGCTTGTAGCGCGGCTCCATTACTGCGTTGATAGAAATTACGGTGATGAAACAATTGGGGTAGGCACGAAGGACACATTACATTGAATCGAATTGATCAAGCTAGCCTGCCCAGCACGAACGTTATAAGCTGGAGCTAAATACAACCTACCTGAATATTCATTACATTAACTTCTTACTAACCCTTATAACTTCTTAGTTTTGAAGATATGAACTATTAACGAATTTTAAAAATTGTGGAATTGATCGATATACTATAAATGTGAGAAGCTTCACTTTATCTCACATAATAACAAAAAGTTGCTTAGGTCCTGCCATGAGGAAGAGGTCGCTGGAAAGATGCATCCACTTGTAGACATTTGCATTCCCACTTGTCTTGCATGCCACGTCTGTAGGAACATTCTGTGCAGTCGATAAAGGAGGTGGCTGACGAGGCAGACTCTATCTTCACCATCCGACACATGTTGCATTTGGCCAATAAAACGGATAGTATAGTGATAGTTCAGCTGCTTTTTGTGCCAAGTTGTCGACACCTATTTGCCTTAACAGCACCAGATAGGATTGGAATATTCCTGTTCTGTGCACATCGGGATATGACGCTCCCGCTGCAATTTCATTGAATGATTCCTAAACCAGAAGCCAATTCAGGAGTGTATCACTTTACATGTGCACACTTATCCCCAACAACGACGAGTTCTATTTTCAACACACTGCAATGATAGAGCTCTATTGAAAGCGCGCGATATTTTTTTCCACAAATACCTTGATGTGAATCAGCATATGCTTCACTTGTGTGTGGTTTTGAGAGTCGAACTCCAGGGACGCGAAAAGTGTTTCTGCGAATTGCAGTCTGGATGACTCTTCAACAAATCCTACAAAGTGATTGTACTTCTAGTCGTTTAGGTCACCTCCCAAATCGCCTTCGGCGTTATCGACCAAGTGCACTACGTTTCGAAAACTGATTGATGACTTGTTTTCCTTCTAGAGAAGTTCTGCCGAACTCCGGATCTCGCAAGCAGGGCAAGTGACCGAGATCAGCAGGCCAGGTTTTAGGATTAGGATTCCCACAGGGGGAAGAGGTACATCCAGCATGGGTCAAGATTGTTCATTCCAAGATGATGCCAAGTCATAGGGTTTCTACAGAAAGACAAGCTACATCCAACTTGGGTCAAGATTGTTCATATTAAATTGATACCAAGTTTTGACATCATAATGTTGTGGATTGTAATTATCCCACAAAATTTTAACAATTTTTTTTTCAATATTTTTCATGTTTTGTAAGAGTGTTATTGCCATTTTGTGACAAAAATTTAGAAGAATTTCTTGTAATTTGAAAGAATCTCTTGTACTATTAAATTAATTCATAATATGTAAAAAATTAACTTATATATATATATATATATATTTTAAAAATCTGTAATAATTTGCCAAGTTCCAAATTCTAACTACTTTTTAAAAGACAATTTGAAATAGCTTTAGTTTTCATTTTTTAGAATTCTAAGTTGTGTTTGTCTTATTAATGTATTTTTAATTTGATTGGTATTGTATTGCTTTATTAATTCAAAAAAAATCTTTATACATCTTATTATATTATTATTTGTATTTGAAACAAACTAAGGACAAAAAAATGTATTGACAAGACTAAAGAAGGCTTAATCTTTGCTTCTATATATACCATCTAACTAAGAACTATGTGACATTCTAAGATATTTGACACATGTCCAATTTTTGAAACATGTGTCTAATTTGCAAGGCAAGTTTCCAATATGTGTGCCACATGGCCAACTTGTACCACAAGTGGGCAATATGTGCAATATAAGGCAAACTTATAAAACAAGTGGCCAACATGTACAACATGTAGCAAACTTATTAGCCAAATTTTCAATTCATCAATTACCTATAAAGATTTGTAAAATCAAATTCATGTCTGAAGTTTCTAAAAAGCTTATCTACGAGATACTATCAAATTACATACTTTTTTATACTTCTACCTAATTCCTTTTATCTCAATAATTACTACTTTTGACATGTATATTCATGACATATATTTTTAGTTTAATTTTATTATATACAAAGTTTTATAAAGAAATTTTAATGTATAGATTTATTATTAATATAAAAATACTACTAGTATTATTTTATAAATATGAATATAAATATATAAAATTAAAATATTTTTTATTAATAAAGATATATAGATAAAAATTAAATAAATAATAATTCAGACGTTTGATTTAATACATCAATAAAGTATTAAAATTATAAATTAACTATCAAAAAAATTAAATTTTATAAAAAAATATTAAAAATTTATTTTTTCAATTTAAAAAAGAAGCTTTAATATATAATAATAATTTTGAATAAATAAAATATTTTAAAATATTATCTTTAATTTATAATAAATAAAAAAATTATTTATTGTCATTGATATCATCAACACCATTAATTACCTAAATAAAAAGAATTATGCGGAAATAAACAAAAATAAATAAATTTGATAATATCTTGCAGATTTGTCTTTATATATGTTTATAGATGATTGATAGGTTGTAAATTTGGCTAAAACATTGGCCATATAACATACATATAAGAAACTTAGTTTAAATGTTAGATATAAATTCTACAAGTTGGATATGTATAGAAGTCCTAAAGAATGTTGTGTCATGAACTTATATATTTACTCCAAAGATTACTTGTATGATTAAGTAGAAGTAAGTAAAAGTAGGTTAATTTTATAATATCTTCTAGAGAAGCTTTCTAAAAGCTTTATATAAAACATTAAATTGACTTACTTGGATATTTAGTATAAAAAATGCACTTGTTGTGCATAAAATCACAGGTTAAGTAAGTTAGTAGTAGAATTTTTAGGAAAAATAGAAAACAAATTACTTATAGCCAATATGCAGTCTTTGGTAGAATTTGTTAAGATAAATTTTTATGGTAGATATGTTTTTGGTATCTAATATTAGATGATGGTCTAATAAAAATAGTCTTATAGTTAAAAGAAAAAAATTATTAATAGTTCTTAATATATATATATATATATATATATATATATATAAAATTAAAAAATAAAAGTAAAAATAAAAATAAAACCAAAAGAATAGAAAGAAAAATAGAGTAGAATAGAGAAGAAAGAAAAAAAAAAAAACAAGAAAAGAGAAAGAAATCAAGATAGAAGAAAAGAAAAGAATATATATATATATATATATATATAGAATAAAAATAGAAGGGTGATCAAGAAAAAAAAAGGTTGTTTTTGAATGGTAGCAGCTTCCTTGCCGATAAGATTCTGGATTGTTCTGAATCTAATCCTTTTTTTTTTTTTTTTTTTTTTTTTTTCCATTTTTTGTGTTTGTAAGAGATGCACCTCCAAGTGTGTGGATCTGTTATTTTTTCTTATGGTTTTTCAAGGATGTATTGCTGCAGCATTGCAGAAAAAAGATCAAAGTTGTTGTTGGACCTCATGTTTTTTTCTTTTTATTTTTTCTTTAAGTAATTGCTCGTTTTGGTGACTGCAACACAGTTAAGATTAAGGCGGCTAATATGATTTATCATGGTGGTTGGTTTTCTTTTCCTTCATACTCACTTTGATTTAGAATTTTTGTTGGAAGAGGTGCAGATGGAGTTTTGGAGTTATTAGAGAGTTGGCCTAATAGAATCAAGGCATTATCCACATTAAAATGTGGCCTCATTTTTCATCTTCTTTCTTTTGGTTTTTGGTTTTCTTCAATATTTTTATCAGCGTGGATGTTCCTTCATTAAGAAAATTTGTTGTGTATTGTTTTCACATTTTTATTGACTATATGTAGTATTTGCTTCTTTTCTTAAGTTGTAGAGCTCTTAGAATGTTCTAAAGCAATGATTCATGTTTTTTTGTTATCAACTTGTTGTTGTGGCAATGTTGTGAGCTGGTGTGAAGTCTCTCTTAAGCAAGGGGTGCAATAATTTTGTGTTTTATTACTAATGATTCTATAAAAATTGTCATATATATATATATATATATATATATATATGTGTGTGTGTGTGTGTTTATGTGTGTGTGTTTATGTGTGTGTGTATGTATAAATTATTTTTCTTGGTTTTTTCCTCATATTCCAAGTTCTACATTCAACATCGTATTTTGGATTTTTCTTAAGCATGGTAGTGGTAGAAGCCATTATTATAGCTTTATAACCAAGTGTTCAGATTATTAAGTTTGTTTGATTAGTAGACCTATTGCTTTGGTATGATACTCTAGATAGCACCATTTTTTTATTTTTTATTTTTTTATTTTATTTTTACTATTGCTTTTATAACAATTGTTGTCATCACAGTGTCGTGTTGTGGTTCCGCTACTATATAAAAATAATGTAATTATGTACTTAATATATAATTCATTAAGTAACATGGTGAGAGTCATGTTAGTAGATTTTAGTTGGTTGTAGAATATAATTTGATTATTACTTTAAGAAGAGGTTGTTTAAAAAGATTACTATAGAATTTGTATAACTTTAATTTCCTTTTGATAGTCACTTTAAAGATTGGTTTTGGTTGATAATAACTTCTAAATATTTAGAGTCACCTTTGCTAGACATTGGTGACATTTGAAAACTTATTTTGGTTCTTTTATTTGATATTTAGAGCATAAATTATGAAAATCTTATAAGAAAAAGGATTGAAGAAGGGTTTTGGTAGCAAAGGGAGTAATTAGGGTACCAATATAGATGAATGGAGATGAATGATGAAAATCTCCATTCCTATTGGTCAAAAATCATGACCAATGGGCTTTGAGGAGGCTGCCTGAGGCCATATTATAGATTAGG